ATGTTCACTGTGCTGAAGGTTGCAATAAGCTACTGCAACAAGATTTGGCCCTAAAGCAAACAACATTTTGGGCCTATGCTGAGTAGGCTATTAATTGTTTCCTCACAGTAAACGTATTATAGGCTACATATATTATGCAAACATGCTCACCCCTGATTTGGTTTTCATTCACATCCTTAAAGAAATACCTGAAAAAGCAAGTAGAAAGGTGGCTGTGGCTCAGGAGAGAGAACAGTCGTCCCCCATCTGGAAGGTTGTTGGGTCAATTCCCATTCTCCCCAGTCCACCTGTCCTTGAGCAAGACTCTAATCCCTGAGTCGCTCCTGATGGCCAGAGCAGTGCCTTGTAGGGACAGTGCATCTGTGTGTGGCTGGTGCCACAGATGGCTGCCTTTTTTCTGTACTGGACACAAATACACAACATACTTGGCCAATAGAAGTGATTATCATTATCAGATGAGAAAGCCCATATCTTTCTCACCTGTATATTAAATATAGAGCCAGCTGTTGGTTAGCTTAGCTTAACATAAAAACTGAAAACAGTTAACCTGGTTTTGTTCAAAAATTAATGAATACATTTTGTGTTTTGTTTGAGTAAAGAAAGAAGATATAACTTATTAATTTGTGAGAACTAGAAAGATGCTTTATTTTTATTGGACAGAACCAAACTGGCTGTCTCCTCCTGTTTCTAGTCTTTATACTAATCTAAGCTAAGATAACCTGCTACAAGCTGTATTTAAACAAACGGTTCAACAATTTGGTGAATATGATTATCTGCTTTCTTCCAGACAGAGAAGTAGATGAGCAGACTGATATTTTCATTTCTGATAAAGATGAAGCTAAGGTCAACAGTCAGTTAACATAAAAATCTTCTCATCTTCTCTTCTAACTCTCTGCAATTAAAGCAAATAACTGTATTTCCCAAAATGTTGAGGTGTTCCTTTAAGCCACGATCAGTTCCATGCAGATAAATATTTTAACTGGCTAATGTTACTAACCCTTGACAGTGTTTCTGTGCAGAGATTCCTACAGACCTCAGATTAAGAGGGCAGCCTGGCATGAGTCCAGAGGTCTGGCTAGACATTATCTCCAGCACCCCTGCATGTTTTCATAAGGGGGCCTCCTAGTCTTTCCAGCTCTGGCCTGTAAGTGGCTGGAAGTGGGCAGCAGGAGTGTTTGTGTGTGTATGAATGTTTGTGTATGCATGTGTTTGAGTGCAGAGTAAACTCCCGTCTTGGTGGAGCAACACTGTCTGCCATGTCTCTGGTCTACAGGAGTAGGGGAGTAATGAAGCTGATGACATGTTTTTCCTGTGACAGGCTGCCTGGCCCCAGACTGTGCTGCTGCTGGAGCTGTGGGAGCCCACAAGTCTCCCATCGGACAGACACAGAGACGCAGGGACGGTGTTTATTTTGGGAGGTGGTTTGGTGCCGGACACCCTGTCTACTCTCCCACCAACCTTTATACACCACCACCCCCTTTTCCCACAAGCACAACACAGGCACACGGCGTACACAACCAATCAGCACACTGATTTTGCAACATGGTCAGTTCACATAAAATACAAAACCAAGCAAAACAACACCCCAAAGAAAACAAATCACACACAAAAATGACTTACAAATAATGGTATTCTACCCATGCATGAACAGATTTTATATGTCAAGGTTATGATATATTGATCTGTGAGATTTCTGGCTTCACTTTAGTATAATGAAATAATCCAAAAATTATGTCCAAGTTGAACAAACATTTTCACAATAATTAACATTTATTATTCAGAGATATGTAAATAATACTACAGTACTAAGAAATACAATATAAACTGACAATTTAAAAGTACAGAATATGCACTATGGAATATAACACTTAACTTAAGCCGTTTATCAAAAAGAAGGAAGTACCATTAAGGTATAAACATTGGGTTTCCTGTAGTGCATTTTGTTATGATGCAAGAATATGGTAATATTAAGAGTTATTGTTGTTTTTCTCCATGCAGATTGTTTTATTGCACATAATTCTTGTATTTTGCTGTCTGAGAATAATGTAAATGTGGTGCACTTGGTCTCCATAGTATGCATATTAGCCACTCGCTGTGCACACAGTAATTGTATCGCACACTAACTGTAATTGTCCATGAATGCACATCGGTTATGACAGAGGATTAGGATGTGATAGGGAGGGAATACTGCTGTCTGACTCATATTAATTATCTCTTGGATTTGCTTTGGGTTGGGCTTTCTGATTTCACTGTTGCTGTTCTCAGATACACTTATTTTACAGATATGATTTTATGCCTAACCATAGGGCAAAATGACAAAAAGCAGATTCAAAAGTTTGTTCATTTTATCAATTAAAATGATGAATTTTGAGTTTTCCTTCCCTGCTTAGTGTATTTTTATTATGACTAGTATTACAAATATGCATCCAGCCTTTCAGCCACACCTGGCCTGATAACAAACCACTGGATGAAAGTAACTAAGAACTATACTTTATACTGTGGTTGCAGTACAATTTTGAGTTACTTGTATTTTATTTATGTATATTCATTTAGTTGTACTTCAATACTCCACTACTCCTCTGTAGTGTTCACACAGTTGCATTTAAATATTTGTTCAAATGACAAAGAGGTCAAACAACGAACATTTGAAAAAACAATCTCAAAAAACAATTTGATATGTGTGGCCCATCTTCTCTCCTAGCTCAACAATCATTTGAAGGCCCCCTAGATTCATGTTTTGGCACTTAGGAGGGTCCCGACCCTTTGTAATCTGATTACATCTTCTGATTACTCAGTTTGTACTGATAATGTAATGAACTGCATGTTGGATGATCAATGGTTTGGAACTTCCCAACAGTCTGAATTACCGTATGTTCAAAAATATACCTGGTTTATTTAGTTTTTAACACCAGAAAGTTTTCCCAAAATGCTTCTCTCTCTGCTGTCTGCACCTTTACATCTGGTTGTGTTACATGGGGAACACATTTTGAACAGGTGCCCCCCCGCAGCATCTCACACACACACACACACTCACGTCCACACACACACACACACACACACACACACGCTTTTCTCTTCTTCTTCAACTCTCTCCTTCTGTCATTGCAACCTGACTCCCACTTCTTCGGCCAGCCCTGTCGCCCCTCACATACTCTAGTAGAGACTGGGCACACTGATTCTGGACCAGCACACATAACAGGACATACCACTGACATCCAGGATTGACTCTTGTGATATGAGGAGTGAACAGTCATCCACCAAAAACACTGCGTTAATCCTACAGTCGCAACATCCGCTCTTTCCAGTGCTTGGATAGTTATTAAAATACCAGTCTCAAAGCAGCGGTCAAGGTCATGTTGGCATAGAGACCAGATGCCACTGAGGGACACCCCAACCCCCTGTTTACCCCCCGTGCTCTTTGCTATTAATGCTCAGTATGTCCCTCTACTCAGCTGTGTGTACATTTACTCTTTTGGCAGTTTGGGTTTAGCTTCTATTTGTAAATGATAAATGGCTGAATGTATACAGTACATTTTTGGACACTATGTCTTGCACGAGGACACTGACATGTGGGCAGGAGGACCTGGAAATTGAACCACCAACCCCGAGGCTACTGCATGTACCTGAACACTACTTTATTTGTGTTAACACACACTTAGATTAAAATGTCATCAGATCCTTAAATACCATAGATATACTGTAATTTATTAATTAAAACTGCATTTTTACATTTATGCTTAATAGTTAATTTGAAAATCAAAATTTGACATCGATATATGCAATGCATGGGATAAGCTATTCAGCAGTATATGAAGCCATTAAAATGAGCTTCACCTTGACAGCTGACATATTAAAATGACACTGCAAGTTAAAGCACAATACTGTGTCATCAAACAACATGAGACAAATAAAAAAAAAACTATAATTAAATTTCTTTGAAAGGGTTAACTTGTGCAAGTGATACTTTTATGAATAGTTTTATGTCACTGAAGAAAAGAGAAAAGGCATAATATACCAAATTTTACTTCATACCAACTTACTTCATATCTTAGGAGTGATCAGATATGATCAGGTTGCATGGCACACTTCTTTTTTCTAAATTCAAAACTTGTGTAAATGTGTACATTCTATTTAAATCATACAAAGTATTATTTATTTAGGAGGATTTAGCCTATTTTATGTCTCCTTCTCCCTTTGTGCAGTGCTTGCACATTTAAAAGCCATGAAAGCATTTATGATTGTGTTTGTTTATGTATCTATTATCATGACAGTGATCAATGCGATTTTCTCTGTGATCACCATACCAAACATTTCCAGTCACTTTGAGCAGAGCAGGATGTTGCGTCTTTAAGAGTTAAGAAACTTGAAACCGTGTTTGCGCAACAATCAGTGCGGCTCCCAGCCGCCAAAGTGTCTAGACTGGCACATGATGGCGGGATCCAACCAATGGCTCCTGAGCTTTCCTCTGGGGCCCAGAGAGAGAGAAAGAGAGAGAAAGAGAGAGAGAGAGAGAGAGTCAAACCGAGTAAAACTGGAAGTCGACTGGGCTTCAAAATAAAAGCATTTAGTGTATATGATAAAGAAGGTTTCCAACAACAAGTGTATGATGAATCAATAGGCTACTTATTGGGTTTAAACAAAGTAATTATTTTAAGGAAAACCAAATTTTCCTAATTATTTATGACAAATATGTAATGTCATAGGTCATTACGGGACAGTTAACATTTGTGAAATAAAGCTTTACCGTATATACCTTTCCAAGGTAACCTGTATCTAAAGTATTTTGCAGGTTCACATGCAGTGAGATGAAAGTATATTTTATCTTGTATAATCTTTCATCTTTGACAGTTTTCTTCAGTGAATAATTGCAAGAAAAAAAAGTCGCCATTTATTTTGAAAATTATTGTCGAATAATCCTGCGCATACTCTGTCTAGCTTCACTTTGTTATGTGTGTGCAGGAGCATGTGTGCATGTGCCTGTGCTTGTACGTGAGCGCGTCCGTCCAAAAAGGACTTGCAGGGCAATAGAGTGGGGTAATCCCAGCTCTTTTTAAAACAACTTCCCAGCACGGAACCCGTCGTGGAGACTTTATGCTTTATCCTGGACTCTGCAGCAACCACGGCGACAGGAGTCATCGGGATGTTGGCAGGATTTACTTCAGGTTGAAGGAAGGTATTTACGAAACAAGGGGTTCAAAGTCAAGGAGAAACTCTGGAAAACTTTTTGGATTTATGTTTCTGATGCTCTTTTGTTACTCTTAATTGATGCGGCTCCCGAGCAGACCGGTCTGTCTATGATTTCTGGATTTTGTGTGGGATCTCCAGAGTTTTGGAGAGTTGAAAGCTGTGAGAGGGTTTGCAAGACTTCTGGTTTAATTGAGCTGGCGACAGCAGGTCACTCGGCGGTGACTGTGTGTAGACTTCTCCTTATTCAGACGTACAGTGATGTTGAACGCAACCCACGACTGAATATTAGTTTTTAATGCTGCTGGAGAGCCAAAAAGGGTGACCACCGGATGCGCATGTGGTACGCACGGTGCACAAACTCTTGGTCTTGCGCTACGAGTGTAAATCGATGTGGCATCTTCCGAGACCCGGACGGGACCGACAGGACATATCCAAAACTGTCTAGGTTGTCGTATGTTCAAGTCGAAACGCTCAGGTCTTGTACGCCGACTCTGGAGAAGCCGTCTGGTCACTGAGAGCGACGGGCGGGATGGATGCAGAGGAGGTGAGGGAGGACGGAACGGTCCGTGTCGCAGACACTCAGGAAAGCTCTACAGACATGAGCAGCGGTCGGTGACACATACTGAGCCCGCTCCGGGACTCACGGGAGAGGCTGGAGACCTGTCAGAGAGCGCGGGGAGGGAGGAAGAGGAGCAGCTTGCTGATCACCAGGGTGCCATGTGCGTCCCGGAGCACGGAGCGTCGGGGCAGGACGGCGACGGCAGGACTATAACGTGTTGTTTGTTTGGGGAATGGGATTTCAGTCCTCAGAGACCTTATTGGACCACGAGAAAAGACGGAGGGGGTCCTTGTCAGTGCGCATCGAGGCATGCGGGGCTGGAGGATGAACTGGCGAGCATTGCTCATGCTTTTTTGAAAAGACTGAAGGAGAGATCTCTGGACGCTTTGGCGAACGCTGTAGAGACCAAAGAAGGGATACCCAGCGAGTGTGTCATGGTGCCGAGGACTGAGCTGCAACTCGGCGCTCATCACATCTCTCCACAGTTCCTCTTGTGTAAGCTGTACCGCTGGAGCGACTTACCTCTCTCGGCCCATCTCAAAGCGCTGTGCCACTGCCAGAGTTTTGACGCACTGGACAGCGCAAAGGTGTGCAGCAACCCCTATCACTACAGCCGCATATGTGGGCCAGGTAAGGACACCAACTGTGGAGGGGCGGGGATGGAGGGTTTAAATCAAATGGCCTTGACTAGAATTGAGACCTTTCCCCTCGGAAATGTTCTTTCATCTTGCAAATAAGAAATAGTATGAGTAATAACGGGAGATGGCTGCATGCCATTCTGCCATATCAACTTCCACAGTATGAAGCATGGAATTAAACCATCAGACTTCTGCATGGGGGCTTTTGGGACTTCTTCAGGAACAGGTGGAGGCCCTTGCAGAGATTTAATCTTTATAATAGTGAAATTCTTTATGAATCGAATACTGATGGCCCATATACACAAAACTGGAATGAATGGGATTTTCCAATCAATCAGAGCGTTGCTTGTCTGAAGTCTACAGCTAAAGAAGTTTTTTTTTGTTCAAGTGTCAAACAACGTCACAACCACTATAAGACACCAATTAAGATGTTTATTTTGCTCCAGTTTTGCAGATAAAACATTTGAACACTTAACTTATTTATCTCAGCCTGCTACACTGAAACACCGACAATATACTGTACGGCACTGATACTCCTCCTCTTTTATTACATGCCCTACAGTTTTCTAATCTGTGCATAACTCAGCTTTTACTTCATTCAAACATCGCTTTGATTTCCTGTCGACATTCCAAACACATTACACACACTTATTTAAATTTGCGCGAAACTTTGCTGCTTCCCACATCATCCAGTTGAAGGTCGTTCTGAAGTTGCACTTAGGCTCTTCTTTCTCTGACAAGGAGGTCCTCCTCTTGTTATTTAGGAGAAGGAGTGCCGATAATATACAGTTTGCTTAGAGCTGGCGCCAGACTGACTCGCTGGGTATCTGACTGACTGAGGACTCCGGCAATTACTGGCTCCGCTCTTAAAGGGGCCGCAGCCACAAGCCCACGTCTGCTTTGGACTGACGGCGCTATCCCAGCAGGCATAGCGCTGCTTCCCCGTGAACCCGTGTGAATGAAAGTGGCTCTCTTTACTGAAACCTAATGACGATGTAAGACAAGCTGAGGCTAGAGTGGACACTTTGGGAAGTGTGTTTTAGCATTTCATTGATGAGTTCAGTTCTTCTTGATGGGCGACTCTAAGAAATCTGTTTTATAAAGGAAGCCTTTTTGTGACAGACTGCATTTGTTTTCAAAGTAGTGCTATATGTAATTGTATATGTATTGTTATTGATGAGTATTTTGCCACTGCAGTGGCACTTTTGGTGTGTTACAAGTCCATGTGTGGATAAAATACAGTAATAAGTAACTAACTGTTCAACTCTACGCTTTTGCACCACTACTGTGTAACTGCAGCAAAAAAAAATTATATGAGGCCTGCTTAGTTGATTTTTTTTTTCTCAGTTGATCATTTTGATTTAAAACCATTCAACTTTTAACCGAACCATAATTTCTGTTGTGTTCCCAGAATCACCTCCTCCCCCATACTCTTTGTCCCACTCAGAGGAGCATAAGCCACTGGGTGAGTCTGGGAAAACGACTAACACATAGCAAACCAGTAAATGACACGCCATCATATTTTTAGGCTAGGACACAGGTTATCATTAAAAAGCTGCTTGTCAGGCTTCACCTACATTTATCTTCCATTCTGTTGACGGTGACATGTAGAATTTATGGTAGGGAAACTGTGCAAACAGCCAGCTCTGCAGTTTAAAGGATCATGTTATGCCTGCAACCAAAGGTTATTTTCATCATCACTGCATCTGGCAGTTTTTTGATTAATTGGGTCATTCTATAAAATGTCTAAGGTGATGACCTTTTTTTCTACCAACAGTCCAAACCTTTAGTATTTTTAATTATAGAGAATAAGACAGCAAATCTTCATATTTAATGTGTTGTATAACTTTTTTTTTTGATAAATGACTTAAATTACTAATTGGTTACCAAAACTGTTTTCAAATAATAATCTGGACCTCACTTATATGTGTGTGTGTTTTCTTTTTTTTTTTTTTACATTTACTAGACTCAACCCTGTCTTACACTGAACCCCCCGCCTTCTCCGGTCCGACTCACATTATGTCAAGAGACTACACAGGTGAGTAACATGCAACATTACTGCACAAGTACATGAACAATGGGAGCAGGTGGATGCTTGTTTCTGCAGGGTATGATGTTACAAGTTGATTTGTATACTTCACCCGCCTT